AAAACAAAATGAGAACCATTAAAACAGTAAAATGAAATTAAAAAGTAAAGTATTGACAAGAAATATCTAAAAAGAACTGCAGGATAGAAACAAAACCAATATCATAAAAAAATAGAACAACAAAATCATACTTATCAGTAGCACCAATGAATATAAATAGATCGAATTCATCATCAGTTAAGATACAACGACTAAATTAAAAAACATGAGCCTATTATCAGCCATAGCCATATCTATGTACCCAATAAAAGACTTTCAAAGTACCTTAATAAAATTCCTATAGAAACAAAGACATTAATACACTATAATATAATAGGATTAGGAGACTTTAACATCACTTTTGAGCAAAGATTGGTCAAGTAGAAAGAAAAAAAGACAAAATCAACTTGATTTTTTTAGATATATACAGAATGCTTCACTCAACAAAAGTACAATATATATATTTTTGTCAACAAATCAAAAAATTTTTGAAAGTATTAACAAAATGGGTAACTAACAAGGGGAAAGAAGAAAAAGCAATTATGAAGAAGAAATAAAAATAGGTGAAACCACCACAAAACCAACTGAAATTAAAAAAATAATCACAGTATTATGAAAAATTGTATTCCAACAACTTGACAATATAGAAGAAATGCATAAATTTCTAGAAACATTACCTATCTAAATTAACAGAGACTTGTAGAAAACCTCAACAGTCCTTTAACAATGAGAAATTGATCAGGTCATTAAAAACTCAGTCAAAAAGTCCGTAAATGATTTTACTGGGGAATTCTAATAGGCATTTAGAGAAGAGTTAATACCAGCCCTACATAAATGATTTCAGAATATAGAAAAGGATAATATAGTACCAAATTCATTTTATGACACAAACCCATGATATCTGTATGCCAAACAGAGACATCACCAGAATTGAAAATTATAGACTAATATCCCTGATGAATATAACCAAAAACTACAACCGCAAACACTGCTGTCTGGTTGGTTCCAACTCTTGAGACCCTGTAGGATAGGATAGAACTGCCCCTGTGGGTTTTCAGGACTCTTTAACTTTTTACAGGAATAGGAAACCTTGTCTTTCTCCCTTGGATTGACTGGTGGTTTCGAACTGCTGACTTCACGGCTAACAGCCCTACACATAGCCTCTATGCCACCATTATTCCTTGTCAAAACTTTCAAAAAATTCTATCTAACAAAATTCAACAAAGCATTAAAAAAAAGTCATGATCAAGTGGGATTCATACCAGGTATGCAGCCACTCAGTCCACTGCCATTGAGTCGATGCCAACTCATAGAGTTCCTATAGGACAGAACAGAACTGCCCTGTGTGTTTCTTAGGCTGTACATCTTTACAGGAGTAGAATGCTTCATCTTTTTTCCCCAAGTATGCAAGGCTGGTTTAGTATTAGGAAAACAATCAATATAATCCACTATATAAACAAAACAACTGGGGAAAAAACATTACATTAATACAGAAGTGGCATTTGATAAGATTGAACATCCATTCGTGTTAAAAAAAAAAAAACCTCAATAAAATAGAAGGAAAATTCCTCAACATAATACAGTAAAGGCCATGTATCAAAACCAATGGCTACCATCTTAATGGACAGAAATTAAAAGCATTCCCTCTTCTAATGGGAACCAGACAGGATTACCCTTTATCAACACTCTTATTTAACATAGCCCTGGAAGTCTTAGCCAGAGTTATAAGACATCAAAAAGATATTAAAAGAACAATATTGGCGCAGAAGAAACAAAACTTAGCTTTCTTTGCAGATGATACAATCTTCTTGTGGAACTAGTTGAAAAATTCAGCAGCATGGCAGGCTATACAGTCAACATACAAAAATCAGTTGGATTCTTGTATATTAAAAAGATGACACTGAAAAGGAAATTAAAAGAGCAATACTATTTAAAACAACTACCCAAAAGATAAAATATCTAGGAATAAATATTAGCAGTGAAAGATTTGTACAAAGAAACCTATAAAATACACAAGAAACCAAAAAAGATTACCGCAAATTGAAGAATGTCCCATGGTTAATATAGTGGAAATGTAATATTACCAAAAGCACTCTAATCCAAATGCAGATTCTAGCAAAATTATTTAAAGAATTGGAGAAACTAATTACCAACTTTATATGGAATGGAAAGACACCCAAGATAAACAAAAAACTCTTAAAAAAACAAAAAGTAGGAAGGCTTTCATTCTTAGATTTCAAAACTTATTATCTAGCCATGGTTATCAAAACAGCTTGGTATTGGTATGATAGACATGAAGACCAATGGATTAAAATAAAAGCCTAGAAATACAACCAAGTACCTACACACCATCTGATCTTTCAAAAGGAACTAAAACAAATAAATGAAGAGATAGCCTTTTCAGTGTGGTTCTAGAAAAACTGCATCTCTACCTGCCAAAAAGTGAAACAGGACCTACCCCTCACATTAAGAAAAAAACTAAAGATGGATTAAGACCTAAATATAAATCCTAGAACATAAAGATCATGATGAAAAAAAACAAGCACAAATGTAAGGGCCCTAATAGAAGGCTTAAATACATTACCAAACATAATGAAAAATACCCCCACTACAGACAACAAAATACAGGACTAGGACCTTCTAAAAGTGCGACATTTGTGTATATCACAAGATGTCATCAAAAGAGTAAAAGGAGACCCCACGTATTGTGATGTTACTTTGAGGACTACGATGTACCTGATCCAGGCACGGTATTTTTCATTGTCTCGTGTATCTGAAAGTTGGACATTGAAAAGAAGAATTGATGGCATTTGAGTTGTAGTGCTGGCAAAGAATATTGAAAGTATTACAGACTGCTGAAAGGACAAACCAGTCTGTCTTGGAAAAAGTACAGCTGGAGTGCTCTTTCGAGGCAAAGATGGTGAGACTTTCTTACATACTTTGTCCCTGGAGAGGGACATCATGTCTGGTAGAGGGGCGGTGAAAAAGAGAAAGGCCCACAGAGAGGTATTGACACTGGCTGCAGTAATGGACTCAAGCATAGGAGCAGTTGTTAAAATGGTGCGAGACAGGGCTGTCTCTCTGGTGCATAATGTCACTGTGGTTCAAAACTGGCTCCATGGCACCTAACAACTACTATTTGCCTATTTTAGTGAAGAGGTTTCATTGCTTATTTGCCTTATTTTTACGCCTATTTGCCTTATTTTTACGCCTGCAGTTGCTTTGGGGTGGGAGAGAAAGTCATGACACCTGTCACCTTCAAGTTTCGGATGCCATCTCTGTTGACTGGATAGCAGACAGCTGAAGAAGGGAGTTATTATTTTTATTCTTGGGTAGCTTTATATGGTGTAGTGATTTTGAGTAGTGATCCTGGAGCCCTATGAAAATTCTTGATGTAAAAAAAAAAAGAAAATGCTTGATGTTTCTTTAGTCTATTATGAATGCTTCACAGGTCTCATAGACATTGCAGGTTCAGTCCAGACCATCACAATAGAGTAATAAAGAGTATCATAGTAAAGTGAATCCCATACTTTTTTGTTTCCCAGTGCAGAGAAACATTATGTTCACACTCTACTATCATCTATTAGTGTGCACAGTAACATTATGAAAACGTTTGAAAATATTGTAAGAATTACCAAAATGTGGCCCAGAAACAAGATAGGAGCACATGCTATTAGAAAAATGGTGTCATTAGATTTGCCTGAAACAGAGTTTTCATGCTTCAGTTTGCATTAGGGGACAAAAAGTAATATCTATGAAATAGTAAAAGGAGGGCTGCTTCTACTTCACATCCTTTCTGAAGAATGGTGTAGATTTCTTCATGATTAGGAAAATTTTAAAAATAATTTTTGAATGGTTTGAATTTTTTCTTTTATGCTATGCTGTTCTTAGTCATTGTGGTAAAGGTTTTTAGCTTATTTTGAAGTATGTTTATAATCGTTTTCTTTAGTTATATATAGGACTAATGATTTATATTCTTAGTGTACACTTCTCGTTATATGCAAGATGCATTAGATGTTACCGCAATGCACTGAGCCATAGTGGCACAGTGAATTAATAAGCACTGGGAATTCCTAACCCCAGGCCAGCAGTTCAAATCCACCAGGTGCTGTTTCAAAGAAAGATGAGACTATCTGATCCTATGAAGATTTAGTCTCAGCAGCCCTATTTTGCCTCGTAGGGTTGCTGTGAGCCAGAATCAACTCAATAACAGTGAATGACAGTTACTCATACCGAGATTTTAACATAATGAAGGAAATTGAAATAACCAATATTTGATTTTCAAAGCTACACCTACTTTGTTGTATAAAATGGCACATGGTATCTATGCTTGTTAAGTTGGTCAGTCTATAAATTAGTTGCCAGTGTTTGTTTTGGTGAAAAAAAGTGTAGCACTGCTAATCTCTTGGGTATCCTTTCTGATGATAAGTAAAATAAGTTCAGGATTTCAATACTTGGGATTTTAAAAGATATTGTTAATGCAATTCTTAAAAACACCCACATATAATTGGCAAATTTTAATGTTCTATTGGTGAACTTTGGTGGTGCAATGGTTTAGTACTCAGCTGCTAGTTTAAAAATTGCGGTTTGAATCTCTCAGTAGCTGTGCTGGAGAAAAACCTGGTGACCTCTCCTGTAAAGATTATAGCCTAGAAGACCCCATGGGGCTCCTTTATTGAAATAAATACAAAAGATAATAACACTATTCCATTATGACCAGCATTTAATTTATTAAAACATATAAACCTGCACAAAGATAAATAATTCCTATGTGTAACCATTTGAATCATATTATATCATGGTATATACCATATATACTCAAGTATAAGCCAACCCGAATATCAGTCGAGGCACCTAATTTTACCACAAAAACTGCATTTAAAATGTGCTGAAAAACTCGGGTTATACACAAGTATGTATGTTAGTATTTTTTATATCTTAACTGTTCTAGGTTGTAGACTATGAAGCAATGAAAAAATTTTGTTGCCTTTAATATCAGCATTTTACTATAATTATACTAGGCTCCTGGATTTGGATTTGGAATTGCAATATCTGGTGGAAGAGATAATCCTCATTTTCAGAGTGGGGAAACCTCAATAGTAATTTCAGATGTGCTGAAAGGAGGACCAGCTGAAGGCCAGTTACAGTAAGCATGTCTTTTACTCTTTGGAGCATGTTACAAGCACTGTTCACATCTTAACATTTGCATACCACTTTAGTGGGTTTTGCCATATTCATCAACAGATAAAGAGTAATGTCTTATTTCTCAATATTATGGCTTAGTATTATTTAAATTCCCTATAACTATATTACCCCAAATAACTCAATTTATTGTGCTCAGTCCTTTGCAGAAACACCGTGTTAATAATTTAAAGCAATTATTTGCTTTAGGTCAATGATAAAAAAATTTCAAAAGTGCTTTCATATTTTTAGCCAAACCTAAGAGCAAGATATTTTTGACATCATATTACTGCTGTTCTGAAGGACAAATGTTTTTTAACTTAATATTTTTTAGAAGTAACAATTTTAAAAATACTTTCACAAACTTTTTGTGTTTTTATTTTCTTTTTTTTAAACGGCCTGGGGTTACTTACTTTATGTCACAAAGGGCATCAAGGCAAAGCAAGAATTTGATTTGCACAGAACCTCTGCCCAGCCCAATCTCCCACGAGAACTAGTGGTAATTTCACCTCATCTCATCCTGCTCACGAACAGTTTAGTGTTTACCTGGGAAAGTTACTGTCCCTCTAACAGGTGACCTGCTATTATTGAATGTCCTCAAGTGAAGCCCAGCTGCTTATGTTTTTCTTTAACATCTTAATTAGGTGTCTGTTTTGTCTCCTAGGGAAAATGACCGAGTTGCAATGGTTAATGGAGTTTCAATGGATAATGTTGAACATGCTTTTGCTGTTCAGCAACTAAGGAAAAGTGGGAAAAATGCAAAAATTGTAAGTATCTTATACGTGTAATTTAGTAATGTGAAAGGTACCTGCTTTATTGTTCGACTTATTTCTGGTGTTTGAATTCATTCTTCTTTAAAAAAGTGAAGATTAGAATAATGTTCCATAGTTCAGTGTTTATAAGTAATAATGTTTTTTCTATTACTAGTGCTATGTTATGAAAGTTCAAATACCAAGATTATTTCTATTAAAAAAGAAACGAGGGAAGAGCAGAATGGCTACCCTTCTCTTTCAATTACAACTTATTGTGGCACATAACCAATTGGAAATAAACAGCACTATGTTATATTTGTTAATGAGCAAGTTGTGCATTTTCCCTTGAACATGTGTACCATCAGGTATATATTACAGTCAGAAAGAATCTTAAGATTCTTACTGTAGAGTTTTGATTTAGCTTTTTGCTACAGCTATAGCTAAAATCTTTGTTTCCTAAGTCTCTGAAATAGCTTTTTTCTAAGTAAGAAAAAAGTTCCTATCAAAAACTAAAACCAAATTCACTGCCGTTGGATTGATTCCGGCTCATAGCAGCCCTGTGGGTTTCTGAGACGGAATCGTCACAGGAGCAGACAGCAGTATCTTCTTTCCACAGAGCAGCTGGTGAGTTTAAACTGCTGACCCAAACTAAGCAGCCCAACTTGTTACCTTGGCTTGACTCTGTGTTATTTGTGTTACTTGCGCTTGACCCTTCAAATTACGGTTAAAATTGGGCAATTACAACACGGAATATATTTAATGTTATAACTCTGTAAATTAACCATATTTAGAAGTACAAAAGCTACTGTGCCGCTTTGTCCTTCCCCACTTTTTGCCCTACCAGTCTTCTGAAAGGACTGGTAAAGGCCCTGCTTAAGACATTGGGGGTCTAGTTCAGATACACAAAGCAATAGAAAGAGACTAGTTTGCTGGATTATCTGTCGGAGCTCCTGTTTTGTTCATTGAGTACCTTTCTGCCTTCCAGCAAAAGCTCAGAACCACAGTGGATCCCATAGAAAGGTGGGAGTCTGATGAGATGAGACTCGTGCCTCAGATTTTGACCTCTGTGTACTGTGATAAAGAACTAAGATGGAGTGTTCCTAGAGGCTGTCCCCAACATATGATTTACCTCACAACACTGTCAGTGCTTTGATGAGAGCTCTCAAGTGGCAATAAACCCAGTATTTGTTTACTTGTTTCAAATGACAGATAATTTATACTTTGTTTACCTAATGTATACTTGTTTTCACCACTTCATTATATTTTTATAGCTGTAATGTCATTTTAAAGTACATTTAGTATTCAGACTGATTAGTGGATGATAAAATATTTAACAGTTTGTATAATGAAATTATAGTTTTTACACAGCATATTTCCCCTTTTTATAATGACCGCTTAGGTTTTTGTAAGCTGGAATATGCTTTGGTTTTCTTCCTTTAGCTGCGGATCCTGGCATTGTCATTATTACTTACAGTGCCATTCAGATGGATTGCCACGTACTCCAGAGTGAGCACCTTAGATACACGTTTTGTTTTGTTGTTTTCTTTCCGTCTCCAACATTGTTAGCATATACCTTCAGCTATTTAAAACCCCTCGTTCCTTTTAATGTAGAGCCTCTTTGTTTTATTTTTCTTTGCAAAATGTTAAGTACATGGTACCCCACAGTGGTCAGACATCCAAAAAAGTGGTGTTCCTAAACCAGACTTTTCCCTATATAAGTAGGAAGTAGGTTTATAACCTGTAACGTATTTAAGATAGTATATGTTTAGCCATGTTTAAGGAGAAGGTTATGATAGAGTTTGCGGAATAATTTTGCTTCTGATGCTGATTTAATTATATTCACTGAGCGTAATTTGGGGAACTTTAAAAAGTATGAACTGAAGTATATATGAGAGATTAAAGTAGCAAGAAACTTGTGGCCTGGTAATTTGAGAAAGGTCTGAAAACGTGGGCGGGTAGGAGAATAAGAAACCAAATATCAAGTTTGATTCTTAGAGAGAGAAAATAAGTGTGCTCTTTGAGAACAGAGGAAGAAAGGCCAAATAAATGAAAGATTTAAGAGTGGAGGGGAAAGGAAGTGGTCCTTGATCTCCATAAAACAGGCTGAATAATTGAGTGTTTATCGAGTAGTTTTTTGATTACCTACACTAGCATATAGAGAGGCAAATAGAAGGGATGAAAAGATTGCTGAACAAAGTGAGAATTCTGCTTAATAAAGTGAATTTATAGATCATCTAATTTGTAAAGTGGAGTCACTGTGTGGTGCAAATTGTTCATATACTATGCTGCTTATTAAAAGGTTAGAAGTTCACATCTACCTTGTGAGTAAGACCTCTACTTCTGAAATCAGCTGTTGAAACTTATATAGCACAGTTTTAATCTTATACACAGGGAGTCACCGTGAGTTGGAATTGACAGAAACTGACTTTTTGGAAATGCTGTGATCCAAAAGTAAAGATGATACAGGACTGGATTTTGTCATGGCAGATGATTGACAGGTCAAGATAGTCTAAAAAGTTATTTAAATATTGGAGTATACAAATTTAGGAGGAAGAATAAAAACAGGATAGAATTTATGAACTGGGAAAATAGAACATGGGAGGATTGGAACTAATTTGAACAGGGGAAAGTTTAAATTGATAAAAGGTATCACAAGAAGACGACCCAGTGTCTACTTAAAAAGACCCTTGTAAACTTAGCAGAGAGGCTCCATTAGTCACGAGATCATTTATATAGCAGTGTGAAAAAGTAAAGTGCAGTTGAGGAATTAAGAGACACCACCACCACAAGATATTGAAGGCAGATTTTAATAGACAATGAAGGAAATGGGGGAGGAGGACGAGCAGGACTGAGCCAATTAACAGAGTTGATGAGAAAAGAATAACAATGTCTTTCAACCAGAAGCTTAAAATTGCAGCAATACAGACACTGAAGTATGTATTGGTAAAGTGTAACTGGGTTAATGAGCTTCACCGTACTAATTTGAATGTTAGTACCATATATTTCACTGAAAGGCCTGACAGGACAATTGTCAGCTGATCCATTCTGAAATATTTAAGGAATCAAGTTGTATTTGCAAGGTTAATATAATTTTTGTAGCATCTACTACAGTATTTTCAATAGAATTAGTCATACCACCAGCAATTATTAGTTTCCCTTTAAACTTGTGATTAATACTCCCTAAAGATCTTTGTGAATTAAGTACTTTATTAGCTGCTTAATCAAACCTGTTTATTAAGAAATTAGAAAATAAATAGGCATCAGTAAATTATTAATGGCTTGTGTATTTTATCTTTGATTCATATTTAAATTAATAGTTAAAAAGGGAAATATATTCATTTAGGAGATAAAAAATATATATGAAAATTTATCATATTATGTCAGGAGCCGGCCCTAGCAGACGTTCTCAAGGTCCTTCAAACAGTGACCGGCCCTAGTGGAAAATTACTGGCAGGTGGTTATGCCTTAAAAGATATCTTAGTCACCAAAGATTCCTTGTTCTATGAAAATGTCTGAGACCTCTTGCAGTTTGTGTTACCCCCACCACCCCACCACCCCCACCCCGTCTCCCCCCGAAGTGTTCTTTGACCATTGTGCAGCTGTAACTGTTCTGCAGCTACGTGACCTTGGTTGGTTATCTTCCCCACTCTTCACCCATTGGTTGAAATACTAAGCACTCATTGGACTACAGACATACCATATGAGAATATGATGGATAGCCGATTGGTTAACATTCTTATGCTTCATTATAATAATACATGTTGGATTGGATATTGTGCAGCACACCTTATTAGAATATGCACCTCCCAGTTCCTCTTTATATTCCCCTAACTTTGCCCAAATAAATGAGCTTGATCAGCATTTGTCTTGCTCCACGTCTCCGTGTCTTTCTTTCCATCCAGGTTCGTCTTTCCCCCCAGGGTCCTGCTCGTGCATCCCGCTGGCCGGGACGCTACAATATTATATAGTTATTTATATTTTATACTTACAGACCATTCGAAGAAAGAAGAAAATTCAAATACCAGTGGCTCATCCTGATCCTGAACCAGTATCTGACCATGAAGAAGACAGTTATGAGGAGGAAGTGCATGATCCAAGAAGTGTCCCTGGGGGTATGGTTAACAGAAGGAATGAGAAGAGTTGGATGAGGGATAGAAGTGCAAGCAGAGAAAGAAGTTTGTCTCCACGATCAGATAGACGATCGGTGGCTTCCAGCCAACCGGCCAAACCTACCAAAGTCACACTTGTGAAATCCCGGAAAAATGAAGGTATTCTGTACCAACTTTTTTTGTTATTGCATTTGAAAAATTTAAATTTCATTTTAGTGGGAAATAAAATTCCTGTCTCTTCATATCGTTGCTTTTGTCATAGTTGTTAGGACTACCGTGCGTTAAATCCTATTATGATGGACTGTAAAGATCATCTAATTTTCTCGAATCATTCTGCTTCATTGTACAGCACTTCAAATTAACTGTCTGGAAGTATTTGGATTTGTTACAATTAGAATAGCTTAATATAAATTTTCATTATTTCACTTAGCTCTGAGGATCAATTGTAGTATACCTGTGTGGAAACATCTTGAGACCTTTTTTTAGCAGATGTTTTTTTTTTAAGTATTTACAGTATGTATATATATATATATATGTATGTATGTATGTATGTTGTTTTTTTTTTAAGCGCTGTTAAGTGTACAGAAAAATGTATACAAAAGACAAAGACATGTTTAAACATACTTAGCTTGGGATAAACCAATGCCTGTATGAACTGAAACCCCAGTAGCAGTGCTTTTTTACTTAGCCTCATAAGGCCAGCTTACTATTAGGCATTTTAACATCGCTGGACCATTTGCAAATCAAAAACAAACCTGCTGTAAAGTTGATTCCAACTCACAGTGCCTCTAAGGAATAGATTAGAAATGCCGCATGGCGGTTTATGTGTATGCATCTTTATGGAAGCAGACTGCCATATCTTTCTCTTGTGAAGTGGCTGGATATCTCATATACTATCTCAAACATCATAAATAAAATTCATTATCTTCGTATTAATTTTTTTCTTGTTTTTTATGAAGAAGCCTACTGAGTGCATTTTTTTCCTTCCGTGAATTTGGGAAAGATTAACAGAGTAGTAGATAATCACTTTTATGTTCAACAATTCATACACATTACATTTTGTATCATTTATTACCATCCTCTCGGTGTAATGACACACACTTCATCCCTGTTTCCATTCATCTTTTCCTAACCCTTCTGAACTTTGTTCTTGAGTAACTTTTGACCTTTTGATCTCATATTATTATTTTAATGTGTGTATACCTCCCTAATGTTATTGTTACTCTTGTAGAGCTGTTATTTTGACTGATAATTGAGCCTCAGGTTTAGTTCCATTCCAAACCCAAAGAGTGACTAAGGACCATAGTCTTGAAGGTTCAACCAGTCTGTAGTTCACTAGTAAGCTTGGTTGAATTCTAGTGAACATTTTCCTTTCACATTATCCAGACCCCTCTAAAGTGATTCCTATTAACTGTTGATAGTGGTTACTAGGCACCATGTAGTTCTTCGGGTTTTAGCATCATGGAGACTAATGTTTGTATGGCCCATTAGTCCATTGGGTTAATCATTTCCATGTGTTTCTGGTTTTCATCACTCTTATTTTCTCTGGATGAGGAAAGAGCAGTAGTAGCATCTTAGATGGGTGCTCACTAGCTTTGAAGACTCCAGTCAGCACCTAGCAAAGTAGGATGTAGAGTGTTGTCTTTGTAGACTATATTATGGTAGCTGAACTTAATGTCCTGCTAGACTATGGTCTGAGTCCCCAGGCCCAGCAAATAATACACTTGATATGTTTGCCTGTTTCTAAGAAGTTTTCACAGCTTTGTGCCCTATAAGCTTCACCAAATACATGGATATATTTTGCAGCAAAGATAAATACTGAAGTAAATAACCTCCATCAAACATGTACAAGGAGGTACCTTCCCAAAACAGTACAAAGCAATGCTGGGCGGAACTATCATAGAACACATTTTTCCTGCTATGTTAGTATCAATCAACTCTCTCCGAGTTAGTGCACCCAGTGGTGTTGCCTGGGAAGGTTCTCGCTGGTCCCAGTGAATTTTTCATCCAACCAGTTTCACTTAAACCCCATTCTTGTGATGGCCAATTTCAGAGAACATCATGCAGCTCTGAAATTTTGTTTCCTGCTCGGGAAAAGTGCCACAGAAACTGTTGTGATATTGAACACAGCTTACAAGTAGTGTATGAGTGGTTTTCTCATTTCAAAAATGATGATATGTCGATTAATGACAAACCTCGTTGTGGATGTCCATCAACTTCCCCAACACACCAAAGTGCCAACTTGTAATGCATTTGGAGTTTGTCCTACCAGGCCAGATTGTTAATCAAGCTTTCTACTTAGAGATTCTGAAAAGAGCATAAGAGTGTGCAACAAAAATGGCCTGATTTATTCCAAACGGGGCACTGGTTTTGCCACCATGACAGTGTACCTCCTCACGCAGCCATCTCAGTGCTCCGGTTTTTGGCAAAAAAACACCATGCCTCTCTTGCCCCACGCATCTCACTCACCTGACCTCACTCTGTGCATCTTCTTTTTGTTTCTGCGAATGCAGAGGGACATGAAAAGACAGGGATTTGATGACACACAAGAAGTGAAGAAAAAATGAGGGAGGTGCTATCAGCCATCCAAACAGATGACTGTGAAAAAATATTTCCAAGAGTGGAATCGCAGATTTGTCAAATTCATTAAGTGTAATGGAGAGTACTTTGAAGGTGGTAACAGTTGTTTTATAAACAGAAAATTAAATACATAGCTTTGGGGAGAAAAAATTCCAGGGTTTTGTTTTTTTTTGTGGACATACTCTCACTCTCCTCCCACACCTGTTCATCCGCCTGGCGATTATAGAAGATCCCAGTCATCTGGCTTGTCTTGTATTATCAGTTATGTTTGATAATATACTTTACCATGTATTAAGGGTTGTGAGTTTGTATTTATTACCTACAGTTTACATTTAGTTCTTGGATTCTTCTTGAATTTTGGTATGAGAAAATGAGTCCTACTTCATTTCTCTGCAAGTGGATATCCAGTTTTCCAGCACCATTTGTTATAGGGGTTCTTCTTCCTATTTAGTGGTTTTCATTCTGTTGTCAAAATTCACCTGTCCAAAGGTGGATGAATTACTTTTGGGATTTTAGTTTTGGTCTATTGGCGTATGTATCTGTTGATGTACCAGTTGCAGGTTGTTTTGACTATAGAGGCTGTGTAGTAGGTTGTGAATTTGGAACAGGAAAGGCATCTTACGTTGTTGTTTAGTAGTTTGTTGATTATTTCAGATCTCTCTCCTTTATAGATAAAATGTGATGACTAGATTTCCATCCTTTAAAATAATGATGCTGGAATTTGGATCAAGCTGCACTCTATCTGTAGATTATAGTTCCATAACTTCTTTATCTCTTATAGTACATTTCACAGACTCTTTCACTTAGAATAGTCTCTGTTGAAGTTGTTTTGTCTCATTCTTTTGTTCATCTCTTTATTGCTTCTCAGTCTTGGTAACTTAGACTTAACGTCATTGGTTTACCAGTTCTTTTCTTCATGCCTTTTTTTTATAATCATTTTATTGGGGGCTCATATAACTCATCGCAATCCATCCATCCATCCATTGTGTCAAGCACATTTGTACATTTGTTGCCATCATCCTTTTCAAAACATTTTTTTTCTACCCGAGCCCTTGGTATCAGCTTCTCATTTTTCCCCATCCCTCCCCCACCCTTCCTCCTTTATAAATCCTTGATAATTTATAAATTATTATTATTTTTTCATGTCTTACACTGTCCGATGTCTCCCTTCACCCGTATTTCTGTTGTCCATCCCCCTGGGAGGGGGTTATTGTAGATCATTATGATCGATTCTCCCTTTATCCCCCCATCTTACCCTTACCCTCCTGGTATGGCTACTCATTATTGGTCTTGAGGGGTTTATCTGTTCTGTATTCTCTTTTTCTAGTTCTTTTCTGTACCCATGTGCATGCTCTGATCTAGCTGGATTTGTAAGGTAGAATTGGGGTCATGATAGTGTTGGGGAGGAAGCATTAAAGAACTAGAAGAAAGCTGTATGTTTCATTGGTGCTATACTGCACTCTGACTGGCTTGTCATTTCTCCACAACCCTTCCATAAAAGGAAGGGCTTAGAGTCTCCATTCTGCACTCTCCCTCATTCTCATCAATATAATTTTTTGTTCTGGGTCTTTGATACCTGATCCTATCGACACCTCGTGATCACACAGGTTGGTGTACTTCCTTCCCCCTTGTGGGCATTGTTGTTTCTCAGCTAGATGGTCACTTGTTTATCTTCAAGCCTTTAAGACTCCAGATGCTGTATTTCATCTCCAGGCACCATCAACTTTCTTCACCACATTTACTTATGCACCCACTTTGTCTTCAGCAATCGGGTCTGGAAGTTGAGCATCAAAGAATGCCAAGTTAATAGAACAAAGTGTTCTTGCATTGAGGGAGTACTTAAGTAGAGGTCCAATGTCCATCTGCTACCTTAATACTAAACCTATAAATATATGTATATAAATCTATCTCCCCATCAACAGATATATATATTTACATATGTACATGCCTGTATTTAGACCTCTATAAATGCCCTTTGCCTCCTAGTTCTTTCCTCTATTTCCTTTTACTTTCCTCTTGTCCTCTCAGTTAAAGTGCCCTTGATCAAGCCCTACCAGGCATCCTACACCCTCCTCTCCATCGATTAGATCACTTTTATTCCCTTGTCACTGGGTTTAACACCCACTCCCTTCCCGCTTCCCCCTCTCCGGTGTGCCCTGGAACCGTCAGTCCCATTGTAGTTTAAAAACATTTCATCCACATTTCTACCCCTCACTTCCCCCACTACCAGCACCACCATACACACACACACACACACACATATATATTCAACCTTTAAGTTTCAGCTTTATTATTTCTTTCCTCATTTCCTAATAGACACAGAGCCCACTATTACCCAGTCTTAAATCTTTTATCATTGTTTTAGTTACCATGTTTATGTACAGAACTAGCGCTCACATTTTCTGCTCTTTCTGTAGTGCCTGGAATAGTTTATATGTACTCAAGGAAATATTTTAAATGAATTAATAAATATATGACATTTTTTAGTATCAGTGTGATGGTTCTTTAAAAGTTTTAACCTTAACAGTTTTTTAATGTTCTAAAGTCCTCTGTTATAATGATCGTTTGACAGCATTTAGACTGTCTGGGTGCTATACTGCACCCTGACTGGGTCATCTCTTCCATGTGACCCCTCTGTGAGGAGATGTACAATTGTCTACATGTGAGCATTAGGTCTCCACTGCACACCCCCACACCCCCTCCCAACCCCATTCACCTTGGGTATGGTTTTATTCTGGTCTTAGATGCCTGATACCTGATCCCATCGACACCTCATGATCACACAGGCTGGTGTGCTTCTGCTATGTGGGCTTTGTTGCTTCTGAGCTAGATGGCCCCTTGTTTACCTTCAAGCCTTTAAGACCCCAGACGCTGTATCTTTTGACAGTCAGGCACCATCAACTTTCTTCACCACATTTGCTTATGCACCTGCTTTGTCTTCAGAGATCTTGTCGGGAAAGGAGGTGAGGCCCCAACCCAGGGACAAGGGAACAACAAGTGAACTAAAATCAATGGAAGGAAGTCGTTGGGTGCCTAGTGGGGCTCATTCAAGGGCAGTGTAGCAGTGAGGAATTATTAAACCCAAAAGAAGGCCGTAACAAATCTTAATTGCCATCTCTTCCAAACTTCTTCAAGACCTTAAGCAATTTCAGTTAAATTTGTTGAGTATTTTATTGTGTTTTAGGTAAAAGTTTACAAAGATTAGGTTCAGTTAACCATGTTGTTCTTTGACATTGATTATTTTTTTTTTAGTATGTCAGCATTCTCATTTCCATTCTGTTTCCCTTTGTTTAGCTTCACTCTCTCTCCTTGGCTTATTATATTTGGTTTGGGGTAAATGATGACCGTTTAGTCTCATATAATTGATGGTTTAAGGGAGACCATTAGTTATGGGTAATACTGTATAAGTCAGTCTACTATTTGGCTGAAAGGAGATCTAGAGGAGTGATCTTAGTTCCAAGTTAGAAAGATATCTTGGGCCATTTCTCTAATTTTGGAAGTTTCTCTAGTGTCTTATCACTTTAGTAAGTTTCACCTTTTTCTTTTATGAATTTGGGTTTTCTTCTACATTTTTCAAGCTCCTATATCCAGAAGCATGTATTGTGTCTTGGGAACAAGTTATTTGTGGTAACTGGAGGCCATCTAGTTCTTGTGGTCTCAGACTCGAATAGGCCTTGCCTCATATGAAGTATTTAGTCTTGTCAACTAGTTTCTTCTTTGGTTTCCTTCATTTACTTTTGCTCCAAGTAAGAAGAGACCAATAGTCTTTAATACCTTCGCTACTGCTAAACCGAAGTAGAAGGTGGAACATTATGTTATGTACTGTTGAGCCAATTGATTCAGAGTTGTCCCAGGAGACTATGGTATAAATTGCTTTAAGGAATTACATTCATGTAACACTCAGAAATTAGTGTGTAAGTACAACATGGTCAAGAAATGGTTTTCCATTAGGCACTTGCCCTTTTAATTAAATGGAAACAATAGGATAGTCTTCTCATCCACAGTGTTTGCTTCGAGGTTGATATTGCACACTTTTTGATGATTAACAGACATGTCTTATTTGCAGTCTCACCAAGAATGATTTTTTTGTTATCTATTGTATTTAAAAACCTTTTCTACAATGACTATTAGTATTATACATTTAAACCCTTAGAATTTTACACTAAGAACATTTAAATATATTTCAGAATATGGTCTTCGATTGGCCAGCCATATATTTGTAAAGGAAATTTCACAAGATAGTTTGGCAGCAAGAGATGGCAATATTCAAGAAGGCGATGTTGTATTGAAGGTATAGTCATATTCTTAAATTTTAATGAACTGAAATAGACAACAATTTCTAGATGGAATATATATATATCCTCTGCATTTATTTGAACCAATTTAGCCAAAGAATTAAAAGGAAATGTTTAAGGGAGAGGGACCAGATTTACATCTACACTGTTATTGTACCTCAGTACTGGTACTGCAGGTTCGAATCATCCTCAGAATTAATTGCTGCAGATGTTTATCATTCACCTCAGGAGCTATTTGTAGGTAGAAGAGCCTATTCTTTCATAATAAATGGTTTTGATAATTATTCCAGTTATTATTAGAATTTATTATGTTATTAATTTACATATGTAATAGAAAGTGATATGCTTATTGCGTCGGGGAGGATAAGGGACGTTAATTTGAATTTTTCTGAGGGAGCAACAGTGCAGTAAAAATTTGATTTTAAAATGTTAAGGTACTTTAATAATTTAGAAAAATATATAAGAAATACTTCATTGCTGAAAGCAAGCCCAAGAGTAGCTAGATATTCCTGCCCATAGCAAAGTATTTTAATTTTTGTTCTGTTATTTGCTTTCAATATATAGCTCTTTTTCTGTTGCAGATAAATGGTACCGTGACAGAAAATATGTCATTGACAGATGCAAAGACATTGATAGAAAGATCTAAAGGCAAGTTAAAAATGGTAGTTCAAAGAGATGAACGGGCTACCTTACTGAATGTTCCTGATCTTTCTGACAGTATCCACTCTGCTAATGCCTCCGAACGAGATGGTGAGTGTGATTATTTTTGGAGGTTGCCTGTAAGTGACTTACTTCTAAAAGTATTAGGAAGATTTTATATACATGAGTGAAGTGATTGTTTTCTACAAGCCAAACACATTTAAATTAAAAAATTACCAACATTTGAAAATGTTGAATTTGAAAAGTGTATATATACATATACTTTTTTCCTACAGCTTACCATAATTAATTTGATTACTAACTGATGAAGTTAATGCTTAAATCAGTCACTTGATATGAAATTATATGGTCACTTATTCCGTTATTTTAACAGAAAATAATAGCACCCCTTTATTTAACAGATATTTCAGAAATTCAGTCACTGGCATCAGATCATTCCAATCGATCACATGACAGGCCCTCCCACCACAGTCACTCACGATCTCCTGACCAAAGGTCAGAGCCTTCTGATCATTCTAGGCACTCTCCACAGCAGCCCAGCAATGTCAGGTAATAAGATTCTTTTATTAAAATAAAATTGTTATACTTGGTACATGTATGTGGTATTGCTTAATAATGAAATTGGAAAGTAGATTTTCCTTTTATTATTCAAGATTAGGCCTTTTTTTTTTCTCCTTTAGTTGCTAACTGAAAGGTTGAGTCGAGTCAACCAGATCCTCTGTGGGAGAAAGATGTGGAAGATTTATAGCTTATTCTGTCTTGTCAGATAGCTGAGGTTGAAACACAGTGGCATTGATTTGGTTTAGGATAGGTTATATAGAATAATGGGTCAGCCAGTTTATTTTTCTTAAAAGCCCAGACTTACAATCTTAGACATGTGCTATATACAGTTTCTTTCATAACTATTCAACTTTATTTTGTAGCACAAAAGCAGCCCAAAATAATTTGTTTATTGGGTGTGGCAATACTCCAGAGAACTTATTTTACATAAAGAACTGGCCCACAACTTCAGTTTGTTGACTCTAGCACTAGAAGATGCATTAGGAAGATACTAGCAAGCTTTGGAATCTACTGCTTAGAATCCAAACCCAAACCCACTGCCATCTGCTCCGTTCTGACTTCAGTGTGACCATACATAGGATTTCCAAGGCTGTATATCTTTATGAGAGCAGACAACCTCATCTCTGTAGCTGAGCCGCTAGTGAGTTCAAACCACTGACCTGTGGTTAGTATCCAATGTTTGCCCAGCAACACCATTAAGGCTGATTGGAATGGTTAACTTTAATAAGTGTTCTTTAGTAGACGAATTAACCTAGACTTTCTTTTGCTTTTTGAAAATGCATTTGCCTGGCACATAAGTCAAAGGTCTGTTAGTGTAGTAGTATGTGAACTGCTTGACATTGTATTGTATTTTGGAGCACATAGACCTGTGAAGATAAAAACAACATTTTTATCTTCTCCAGAAAAATACACATAGGCACATACATGCAGCATTTTGCATACAAATTATAGAGGTTTCTAGGGCTTTGCAGGCATCAGCACACCTATAGTTAAAACAAGGATCCAAATGGAGTTCCTCTGGAGGCACTTGAAAATGTGATCCAGAATGATGAGTTAATTTAAAGATATCGATTTAACAATATTCTGCATAGTAGTGTTGGTTAAAGGTTATTGAAATTACTAAAAGAAACAACAGAGAGAGAATGCCAAGACCAGGACCATGGAAGCAGATCTTTGGAGAAAGGTGAGGAGACAAGTCACAGATAATGGAGGAATGCCTATTCAATAGAAAATATTTTAAAAATTTTCCCCAAACTATAGCGATAATAGTTGTTAACTGAGTTTATTTAAAAATATATTTGCACGATCCCTCTATACAGGGAACAAGCCTCTAGTGATTTCCCTCTAACTGTAATTGAGGGATGGGAAAAAACTAGTTAATAGACTGACAGTATTGGAGAGATGACTGTAGTAGATCAAAATGATAAACCGGACTTGACCGGTTAAAACCTTGTCACTTGATCTCCCTCTAATACACTTGAGACTTGGTCTAGTCTGAAATATTCTCTATGCTTTTACAAAAAATGATGTTTATCTCTGTTGTATTTTGTCATTGTTGGTAGCCTTCTTGACTCCTTTTATGTGTTTTGCTATGTTTTCCAGTATATGAAACTTACAGAAACAACAATAAATTAGGGGTTCCTGTGGGGTTCAGTGGGCGGTGGGGTAGGTAAGGGGAAGCTGTTATCAGGAGTTCAAGAAGGAAGAAAATGTTTTGAAACTGATTTTGGTAGGAATTATATAATACTGCTTGATGTAATTGAAATGTGGAATGGTATGATGTCTGGGATTAGCTCCTAATAAATGGCAGGGAAAAGCTAAAAAGAGAAAACAATAACTAGCAACAGCTGTGAATATGATTGTTTTTGTTACTATAAATTGTACCTATTATAATTTTTAGATATTTATGAAGATGATTCTCTACCAAATCTCAAATTTTAGAAGTATTATCATTCTTGATGTTTATTTTACTATGATTTTTAAAGGAGTATGAGAATATGTCATATATAAAATGAGTTAATCTTCTAACTAAAATTGTTCAAATAATTTTCTATTTGTTTTAAATTCCAAAGAACCAAACCCACTGCCATCAAGTCAATTCTAACACATAGTGGCCCCATTGTTTGTGTAGTGTATTCCAAAAATCCCTCCTGATGCCTCTCTGATGTTTTCTTAGTAATAGGATTGCTGCCACAACACTTTTTATTTAAAGCAGGTGGCTTTGTTCTTCAAAGGTTATTTAAATTCTATCTGGTCAAGTCTGTGCCCGATTGACTTGGTCTCTGAAAAAGCTTCAATTTAGAAATAAAAGAATTTGTCTTTGTAAATGTTAGCCCTGCCTTGTTCTCTACCTAGATTTCTAAATATTTTCGTATCTTTTTATAATATGTAGTTGTCTGGTGAGAATAGCAACATCGTTATTTTATTAGAGGCAATAGAATATTTGGACTTTGGAGTCAGATTCCCTGAATTTATATCCTAGCCAGCCATTGATTATTTGGATGACATTGAAATCCTGCTTCCCTTCCCTCATCTGCTGTAAAGCGGTCATAGATCTTAAAGTTGTTGTGAGAATTAAATTAATTTTCAAATACTTGCTTCTACATTAAGCAGAAGTACAAGTCGAGGAGTATTAGTAATATATATCTCCTCTTTCCAGTTTATAAGATGTCCTCATTCTATAAGCAAATTAAAGCTGAATGTTGTGTTAAAATCCAAGGTTACTTAATTTACATAATTTAAACTGTTGACCTTTCAACTCAAGTCTTCGTTTGATGTTTGAAAAAAATAAAATCACCTGCCATCCAGTCGCTTCTAACACAAAGCAACCCTCTCCAAAAACCAAACTATCGACAAGTAGAACTGTTCCTGTAGGTTTCCAAGTCTGTGATTAATTATGGGAATCGAAAGCCTTGTCTTTCTCCTGTGGACCCATTGGTTGCTTTAAAGTGCTGACCTTGTGGTTTGCAACCCGAGTGTGTTACACCGAGTTAGCTAGAGAAACAAGTCCAGTGACAGTCAAAAATGTGTAAGAAACTTGTATCAAGAAGTAATTCTATATCCAGAAAACATCCCAGCTCAGTCCAACTCAAGTCCATAAGTCTGATACTAGTCCCTAAGTCGCTCTTCAGACTCTGCATTGATCCAGAATGCAGGAACATCACAGGCTGTGTGCAGAGTTGGGTGGATCCAAATTCAGTGGAAAACATTGCAGAGATTTGGCAGCTCTGCAAGAAGGTGGAGGCAGACAGAAAGGGAGAAGCCTCCGGAGAGCTGCACTTCTAAGGGAAGTTATCCTGATGGACAAGCTAAGCTCCACCCATATCTGCTTACAGGTTCCTTGTTGGCACAAAAAACCTATCACACCAAGTAAAACTCCCTAGGGTTAACAGTTACAGTCTCAGATACCCATTGGGGGTCCCTGTGAGTCAGCATTGACTCGATGGCAGTGAGTTTGGTTTTTGGGGGTGAGGACTTATAAAGGTTATAAATCTTTACAAAAGAAGGCCACTCCAGTGAATGTTCAAATGTGCTTTACACAATTGATGTATGTATGGATTGTGATAAGAGTAGTATGAGCCCCTAATAAAACTATTAAAAGAAAAAAAAGGCTACCTCATCTTTCTCCCATGGAGCAGCTAGTAAATTCTTACAGCAGACCTTGGAGTTAGCAGCCCAATATAAAACCCACTATACCACCATTCTTCCTCCCTTTCCCGTACTGGCATAGAAACAAGAAGAAAGGTGATTGTCATGATCTACTTTTATGTTCCTTTGAGAACTCTGGTTGCATAATGGTTATATGTTGGGCTGCGATCCACAAGGTCAGCAGTTTGAAACTACCAGCCGTTCTGTAGGAGAAAAGGTGATGCTTTCTACTCCTGTAAACAGTTAATAGTCTAAGAAATTCATGGGCAGTTCTATCCTCTCCTATAGGCTTGCTCTCAGTCAGATTTGACTCAATGGCAATGAGTTTGGTTTGGTGTGTCATGTTCTTTTCCTTGAGAACAGACAATACATGGCTAGAGTTCTGAGCAACATAAAAGAGCCTATTTCTTCATTGTCGCTAGGTGAACTAAATACCCTCACTGTTGTCGAGAACATTGCTTCTGGACTGCGTCGAGAACATTGCTGTGGTTCACAACCCCATAGATGGAGTCATGTACCTGGATGTGAGGGTGGTGAAAAATTTGGCAACAGTAAAAGGTTTCTGAACATGAAACAACCAAAAAGTAAAAATCAAATGCTAAATGAACCCAAGATGTTGCCTCAGGTAACTTCACTGCAGCCTGGGTTCTGAATACAAAAGGTACGCCATTGCAAACCACAGTTTCAGAAGTTTAGTTGACAAACTCAGAACAGGTGTTGACAAAATAGCCTGCTGCCTGAAACTAAAGCTTTAGTGGAGCCCATTTTTTAGTGACTTAACTGAGATATTTTGACAGAAGATGTAGGGCCCACAAAGTCATTTACAGAAAAAACTAGCTAACTTTCTGAAAGTACCAGGTAAGTTCTAATATATTGCATATAGAGCACATTCTGTACATTAGTGAAATCTTATCTTTTAATTTAAAGAATAGTCTTTACATCTACATCGTATCTTACTAAGGTGCTTCCGTGACATAGTGGTGACATTTTTCTAATAAGGTCAGCATTCGAAACCCCAGCTGCTTCTCTGGAGAAGGTGGGGCTTTCTGCTCCCTAAAGAGTTATGGCCTTGGAAACTCACAGGGGCAGTTGTACCCTTTCCTATAGGATCACTTTGATTCAGCATCGACTAGATGGCAATGAGTTTGGTTTTGGGAGAGGTTGTGTGTGTCAGAAGTGATTGGATGGCAGGTGGTTTTATTTTTTTGAGTGGAAAGGTCTACTGTTCTAAGTAACCTTGGATTTTATCAAGTTAATGGCAGTGAGAGGGTTTTTGTTTTGTTTTTGAGGTCTATCTCTTACTAAGATTATAAGCAAGGTAATAATGCCATCTTGAAATA